GTGGGCAGAGACGCACCCGCCGCCCGTCTGGGTTGAACAGAGCCTTGCATCCCCATGTCCACGTGGGCAGAGACGCACCCGCCGCCCGTCTGGGTGAACACACTGGTCTGGCCAGACGATGGGATATGACTCAGCTGTAAGAAGAAGGACATCCCGGGGCGCGACTGAACCTGAAAACGTGACGGTGGGGCAGGCAGACCATGGTGAGCTTCCTGTTGTCGTGTATTGTGCGGTAGGAACCGACCCGTAACTGACCCGACTGCCCAGTGAATTCTCAGAGGCTGCAGATTGCGTGAGAGGAGATTGCCCATCTGCGGATCAGTTGATGGATTTGAACTGTCTGCCTTTGGGTTGCCAGTGTGACTCCTTACCCACTAGGCTGTCTAGAGTGGGCAGGGAGTAGATTGCGTTAGGCATTGCCGGGATGAGCAGAGAGAGTTAGTGCTGAGGGAGCAATGAAAACCGTTGGGAGTCAGCGTGTGGCTGACCAGATGGCAGCCAGAGCGAGCAGACCCGGAACAGGCTGTTTTGAGCTGGGGAGGGCTTAGGGTGCAGCCCCTCTCAGTGCTGGGTCCACGGCCTGGTGCAGACCACCTCTGCTCGCCTGGTCCTCCTGCCTCACACGGCAAAGGCCGGCGGCATCTAGGACCAAAGACGCACCCTGAGCGCGAACCCGCAGCCCAGCAGCAGGTCCCGGCTGTGACTCTGCCCCAGGCCCATCCGCAGCCCACTCACTGGGTGGACTGGAGCATCAGCGTGCAAATATCAGGATACAGTGTGGGTCCCCACGTGCACCAGCCTCGGGGTAAACCCCAAACCAAGTCAGCCGGGGGGCTGCCGACTCTGACCACACCACCATAGGGCCCAGGAGCCACCCCGCTGTGTCCCCAAGGCTGTGGTCTCTCCCACAGAGCGGCTGGTGGGGTATCACCACTGCCCCCACATTAACAGTGCTGTGCTTAATCACCGTGCCACCAGGCTCCTAGCCTGAGCGTGGAGCCTCCAGGAAGTTGAGGTGCAGGGGATTTGTGTTGGGGTTTCTGTAAGCTGCACATATGTCACATGGGGTACACATAACGATGTGATTGGGGGAGGGTGGATTTTTGCTGCCTTTTCTGATTCTTCGCATCCTCAATGTCACTGTTCCCTGCCACCACCACAGCCACTTTTGGTGTCACCCAGTCCCGTTCGATTTCTCCAACCAGGATGCTGTCCCCAGAAATATGCTGTCACCTAAACCCACTTACAGGTACCAAGACAGTGAGCCCCA